AACATATATGTAGAATCATTTTTTTCAGTGCCTGAGAGCCAGAAGTACCCCATCAGTATGTCTGTTTTCCTGGCTTTTGCCCACAAGGACAATCATTCTGCAGCCTCTCTCCCTACCACCCTTTTTTTTTGTTGTTTGGGGGTTTTGGGGGTTTTTTTTGTTTGTTTGTTTTGGGGGGGTGTTTTGTTTGTTTGTTTTGGGTTTTTTTTGTTTGTGGGGTTTTTTTGTTTTTTTGTTTGTTTTTAAGATTTCACCAAGCAAGTTGCATATGGGTTATTCTGATAGTAGCAGTTGCCAGTATTTTGCAGGGCACCTTTTCCTGTCATATGGCAAATGTATATTCAAACCATGTTGGGAGAAAGCAGCAGACAGAGCAGCAGAGGATGGCTATTACTGCCTAGGAAATAAATTGAGAATAAACAGCCAGGTGGTTCTCATGGTGGAAGCGTGTAACCAGCTAGAAAGCTTGTAGATCCGAGTGATTCTGAATTTCTAAAGAATATATGGATTTGATGGTACTTTTCTTTAAGGAGTAAGGTGGTAGAAAATAACTTCATTAAGTATGTGATGTCCTTGGTCTTCCATTATATTTCATCTCAATAGGGTAATGAATGGAAAAAGTTTGGTTTATAAATTACTCTTTCCAGAGCACATCCTGGGCATGTAATAAGAAAGCTAAACACATGAAGTACTCCCTAGATTTGCTTAAGAACTGAATGTGCTGCCATCTGGTAGTTGTACTCTGTCCTTTTGGCAGCATTTGATTGACTTCATTTTTCTCATGCAGCACTGTCTGTCTTTTGGCTTAAATTTCATATTCATTTTACATTGTATTTATGCTTTTAATGAAAAAAAAACCCAACCAAAACTGTTGTGACAAAACTTATACTTTTATGTGAATAAAGGGAGACTAGCTCTTTAAAGACTAAAAGAAATCCTTTTTATATTAGTTGGTCTCAAGGTTGTTTCAGAATCTTTTGTCTATAAGACATGAAGTAAAGTAAATCTTGGCACAACTTGTAGTTTTGGTTTTTTTTAAAAAATATACTAAAAATACATAACTTGAAAAGTAAATCAAATATTCATGACAAAAAGTTAAAACCATGTATTGTCCCTATAGCAGTTAATGCTTATTCCAGTGTGGTGGGAAACTTCCCCATGTGCATCAAAAGGCAATGAGAGATAGTAAGATTTCCACAGACAAGTGTCTGCAGCATTGGGGTTGGGGGAGTTGGTTGCTCCACAGTTTTGGTTTGGTTAGGAGGGAAAGGGGGCAAGGTGGACAAATCCATGGAGCAAGAATTGTCTGAAGGTTGGTTAACTAGTCTGTGCTTTGTGCAAGGCTGGGAAGCAATATCAATTATTGCATCTAGCATTTACCTTTTTGTCTTTTTGAACTGTGGGCACAAGGCTCTTTCTTTCAGCTGCAGACAAAGATTTGTGGTGGCTAACTGGTTTCCTAGCTGTCAGGACCTCTGCTCCTACCAGGCCCTCACCAACCTCACTTTTCTCTAGGAAAGCAAATCAAATTGGAATATTCTGGGACAGTAAAATTTCTATTTATGAAGCTGAAGATATAGATAGCCCTGTCATTCTTAATCTACCTTTCCTTGGCATATGGTTTCCTCAAAGAGAGGCTTCCATGAAGCTGAGTGGAGGATTAATTCAGAAAAACTTTTTCTTTTCCTGTTTTTGTGATCCCAGGCACAATTTCCCCCAGATGTGGGTTCATTCAACTTGTAAAGTTGATGGACTAATCGAACCCAATTAAAAGCTTTCCGGTGTTGTTCTTTTTTGTTTGTTTTTTATTTTTATGTTTTAAAATCTAAACCTAATCCACGGTACAATCTGGACTTAATATAAAATATGATGTTGGGATATAAAAATGTAACAAACTGTACAAATAAGTTTTGTGGTTGCATTTAAAAATATTAAATGTTCTTTGATCTTTCTTTTTATTTACTAGAGTTTGTTCTTATGGCTTAGAACAAGGGAGATGTAATTGTCAGAATTCACTTGGGAGTTTATCTGAAGCTGTCTTGACATGGCAATGTTATCCTTTCATATTACTTATTAGGTAACATATTTTAAACACTGTCATCTTGGATCTGTCTCATTTTTGTTCTACATAAGACGGCCATTGGTGAAAGTAAAAAGTAGTGTAAAACAGCATCTGTATTTTCTCTGTCATATAAAGTATGCAAATAAACAGGATGCAAGTAAAGGCTTTAAAAAAAGGTTTTGTTATATGTGGTTGGGATGTTTCTGTAAATGGAAATGTACAGATGCTAGTGAATAGTTGTTTGGGGTCTTTTGTGTGGGAAATGTGATTTTCCTTTTATAGGAACTTAGTTTTTATATAGGAAATGTGTTTTGGACAGCTATTTAAGCATAAGTACTTGATAATGTATTGACAGATATTGACTATCTTCTTATCCCCTCTTGCATATTTTCCTTTCCTTGCTAGAAAGCTTATTGGGATATTATGCTTAACTAACTTTTAAAAGTAACAGGATCTATAGATTTCATGTGGATTTAATGAAGCCTCAAATTTTGCTCCTGCAATTACATAAGGGTCTATTAGACACTTAACTTTTGCTTGTGGGATACAACAATCCTATGCAAAACATTAATTTATAACTTGGGTCAGAAAACTAATTTACACAGATCAGGTCTCTTGTAGTTATAATGAAAAAAAAAAATTGATTACAGGATTCAAGATAATCGTGATAGTACTAATATTTCTTCTGTTTCAGTAAAAAGCTTCCTCTCTTCTTCTTGGCAGCATCCTTGGGCTCTGTGCTTTTTATTGTATTGCTACCACAATCTGCTAATAATTCTGACCACTGTACAAGCAATCACACTTTTAAATTATGCCTGCCTTAAAGTGGACCACTGGTTTGCTTTGATTGCAGTATTTCACTAAACAATTGGTGGCATTCTTCCACTGAAGAAATTTGCTACTGTGATCATCGAACAATGCCACATCTACACTGTCAGGCTGTCCCACTTTTCATTTAGAAATTTTAACAGACCTTGAAAAATGTCTTGGGGGTCTCAGTCATAAAAATATCTTTTTTTTTTTTTTTTTTTTTTTTTTTAAATTTAAACTCACGAAATAATATCTCCAAAAATTGTCGGTTACATTTTGGCGGAAAACTGTAATAGATTTGAAAAGAATCTTTTCTTCTTGAAGTGGTAAATCACAGTTGTAACCAAAATTGTTCTGAAAGTTGGAAGATGTTCATATATCAAGCAGGAAGACTAGACATCAGAGTTTTAGCAGTAAAATGAAAACCTTTAAATGTTTTTAATTAAATCTCATTCTGTAATTTAACTGTAAACAAGACCACCTAAGAGCAGGCACCAGGATACCCTTATCAATAAATTAATTAAAAGAAGCTGCTTCTGAGATACAAAATGTCTCTTCGATGCAATGAATTGGGGTTACAGTCTCAAATCACTTTCCACTCAATTGATTCAAGTTATGCTTAATGAACTTATATACTTGTCACAACCCATTGCCTCATTGCAAGTTAGACATTTTGCAGCACTTAAATCTTTTAAATGGGATAATGTATGTATAAAACCTTAAATATGTACTTGGCTGCGCTTACAGGAAGCTGTAATTTCTCAATGCCAGCAACTTCAATGTTGTGACCTTTATATCATAGTAGGAATCATTTCTAGTTCCTAATTTAATAATTGTTTAAGTGTTATGTTTTCTGAGCATTAATGAATCACTCGGTGAAACTCAGAACTCATGAGGAAAATGAGGGCCAGCACTCCTGCCTTGGTGGGAGGGGTGGCTGAAGTGTAGCTTGAGCTGGTGAGTCCCTGCCATTGCTATTTTCTGCCTCAAGCCTGTGGAAATGCTGTTATCAACCCTATTGCATTTTGTAATTCCACAAAGGCGCTTTTTTTTTTTTTTTTTTTTCATGTTTTACAAGAGCTCACTCGCAGCTCTGAAAGTAGGAAACAGTTTGTAGAAACATGCTTCTGGCTCCTTTTGTTGTTCTGTTTAAACATTGCTTTAGCCACTTGGCCCTATATGAAAGCAGTCGCTGTATCTGTACATGGCTCTTGCTGTAGCTCAAAATCAACACTAGATGAAAACATAAGCAGTTTTCACAGCATAAGCATGTGCAAGGGGGAAAAAAAGTCATTACTTTTAAAAATAAGTCAAAGTGGTTTTTACCAAGTGAATGCTTTTGCCCATCAGTAATAAAATACACCTCAGAATATAAAGGATCTTTAACAGATTTTCAGTGTCACTGAGTTACAACAGAGTTATAGACTGGAGTTTTGGGTGCACACACACATGTGCCCACTTTTTGGCTTTTACTTTCTGTTTGAAATATTACAGAACCATCTCAAAGGCCTGCTTTAAAAACTTCTCCATGGAAAAGATGCCTGTAGACAAAAACGCAATTGCTCTTTGGGTCCATTTATTTGATGGTTGGCAACAAATACTTTAGAGGAAGTCTTTGGGTGTTTTTTAGGTGGACAAGTAGGTATTTTATGCAGAGAAATTTCTTCTTTGCATCCTGATCATTGCAGTTGCCTTATGCTCTGAAGTGTTATTTTATCTCTGCCAAATAATTTATTGTGCCTAAGATTTCTGTAAGGTGTATTTCCGTATGCAATACTAAACTTATATGAATCTCCCTAAGAAATAGACCTATACACCATGGAATGCCACAGTTATTTTTCTTTTGTCTTCACTCTGGATATTCTTTTCTTCTACTTTCAGTGCACCGGGTCATCCAGTTTACCTTTTCTACACATCTGTTGTGGTCCTTCCCTTTATGTGTTAAACATTCATGCAAACAAAATAGAAGAATCCCAGTTGTTTGCAGCTTTTCGAGCTGCTCTGTAGTTTGCTCTCAGACTTCAGTGATGGAACAGCTGAATCGTTCAATACTTATGAGCTTGCTTTGTGTCCTGCATAATTTTGCCTCTCTTTCTTGCTCGATAATACTGACTTGACTTTTTCACAGACTCACATTTCAAGACTTCCTCCTGGAGCCGTGGCGGGACAGTCCGTGGCAATAGAAGGAGGAGTTTGTCGGCTGGAGAGTCCAGAAAGCTGAACAGCTGATCCCTCACTTCATTGCGAAGAATGTGAATGACTTTTTGGACAATAATTTTTCTGTGTTTTTACAGATGATGGAAATTCTATTCTTGTTTTATACCCCGTATTGCAACCATGTGCACCATAACTTGAGACAAGTGCTGCTGTAGTTTATGTTCTCACTCTGTGAATGGGGGTGTGTGCATGTTCATTTTTTCCCTAATAAAATAGGAACTCTTCCCAGTTGTGCAAAGAATATGTATGATTAATGGTTACGTTTTCATTGTTTTATGTTTGGAAAATAACTGAAAGGGGTTTTTTTTTAAAAAAAATTAATTTAAAGATATGGTCATAATTGTCATTCATGTTCTAAATTTAAAAGTAACGAGCCTTTGAAGTGGCTATATAATTATGCAAAAAAATGATTATGGTTTCTAAGTTTCTCAGTGGTTTAAGGAAATCCAGAGGTGGTTTAAACATGGGTTGGTTTTTTCCTCCCCAAGGATTTTTTTTTTTTTTTTGTCAAAGAATGGTTTCAGTGAAACAAACTAGAGAAAAATTAAGGCTAGAATGGTTTTTAAATAGTCTTATAGGTCATATCTCTATTCCCAAACTAAGATGTTAATAGCTTCAAGCTGTATGTATTACAAAAAGCTATATGAAGATGATGTATCGTAACGCAGTCTTTATGTATAATGAAATATTACAATGTAAATAAGAAAACAAAGTTTATGGAAAGATTCAATATTATTCTTCGCTTCTGTTTAAAATCTATTTTTAAGAGAGGTACAGAAATGAACATATTACTGGATGCGAAGTGCAATGTGTATTAAATGGATGTTGGGAGGTCTGATACTAGCTTTCTTATCAATAAAGCAACTTCCCGAAGTCCAGCCACAGCATGGGTATTTATATAACTGTGTGTAATATGTATGTACTGTGCATAAATTTACTGTAATTCTTTTTATACCTTCCACAAAACTGCATTATAAAACAATGTAATCCTTGTCTGCCTTGTGAAGCATTGGCAGCTGAACTGTCACTTGTCACCAGTTCTGATACGTTAGCCAGATCGCTTGAGTCCTAAAAGTGAGTTCTGACATACAATCTTCCGTTCAGTACTTTTTCCTTCACAGCACTGGCAGCAATAGAAGATTTTTTTTAATTAATTCATCGTCCTGATAAGTATGCCAAAGAGAAACTAAAATAGTTCATCTTTTTCCCTGGTGGATATTTGATAATTCTGTTTTTCAGAAATAGTGAATGAATAGATATTCAGACTGTATTCGCTTAATCAGGCATTATACTTGCCTGTTTTGTAATGTTGTGCCTGCCTATAACAGACATACTTGACTGATTAAATGGTTACATTGATTGTAGTACCAATCTTTCATTGAAAAAGATCTTAATAAATTTTTTTTTAATAGCCTGAGTTCATTTTCGCTCTTATGTTACAGCATATATTGAGATACTGTCACCTCTGTGTGCTTTTTTAATTGTGGAATCAATGTAGTCCTATAGTTGAAGATATTTTTATATGGTTCTGTAAATAATATGAAACAAGGGCTTTCCAGGTTGCGTAAACAAAAAGATGGAATGCACCTGTCTTGAAATAGTTTGTGCTGAGATATCAGACTGGATCCTCATGGTTTGATGAAATGAAGAACTATCCTACAACACTTCAGAAATGTTGCTACAAAGAAGCTGCATTGTCACAGCCCTTAATATTACTCTAATATGCAGCATTAAATTATTGTGTGGAAGCTTCGCTATGTAGGCAGTGAAAAATTGAAGATCGTGCGTATGGGTTTGTACGTACCCGTGTTTGAAAATGGAATTGTTTTTGGAAAAGCTAAAATAAGTGTTAGCCTACTTTCATTCTAAAAGCACTTTTCCGTGCCAACTTCATAGAAACTTTGGCATAAATTCATTCTTTCATAGAATCCGCATGGCAAAATGGCTTGTAAAATGTAAATTGTTAAATTGTTTCTTCTCCTTGCTTGCTTAATATCTCTTTATGGAGATTTGGATTCCAGCATATGATTTTTTTGCCCTGCACTATCACAATTCTATTGTGTGTATACATACATACATACTAAATCATAATTCAAGCAGCAGATAACATGTTTTAGTTTTGCTTTGCTTTTGTGTCTCTATAATACTCAGATTTTTATTTTTTTTTTTAATAAAAGAAGCCAGACTTCTTCTGGAAGCTACTTAGGCAATGTGCCTCTTCTTTGTCCAACTTTTCTTGCTTTAATCTAGGTGGAGGAAAAAGGAAAAAAAAAGAATACTCTTGTCCTGAGAGTCACAAGCAATGTACAGGGCACAAACCAGGTACAGAGCTGACTTTCTAGATAAGGTACTTAGGAGAAGAAAACTGTTAGCATGTACGAATTTCTGTATCAGTAATCATGAAGACTGCCAGGAGCAGAATTTCCTATCATCCAACTTCTACTTAAGCCCATGAAAGATCTTATGCTACTTTAATTATGGGTCTAATTCTGCTACTAGTTCTATTTTGAACTTAAAAGGGGCTTATGAAAAATAAATGGTGAGGACAGACACACTTTGCAATGACGTGGTCTGTAAACTCTTGTACGTGATGAGTAACCATTGCCACTGGCATAAGCAGATACAGTCCAAGAGGAAATTATACACTTGACAGCAATAGCTGGATAAAATTATAAAGGAAGGGCAACCAGATGAAATGCATATAAATACAAACAATCTGAATACTATTGATTTTATACCCAAACACACAATTATGTGTCCTGGAGTATTTTGTAGCAGACAGGTTGGTGCCAGAGTGGTCAGTGTTCTGCCATAATAAATTTTGCTGCTAAAAGCTTGTAATAGCCTAAACCAAACCTAACATATAGCCCTTTTTTTTTTTTTTGGCCTTTCTTTGCTCCTGTACTGTCATCTTTGCTCTGTACCTTAACAATGTGGCTCTGCAGTAAGTGACTTCAGAGGGCCGCAGTTGAGCAAATCATGGAGGAGAGGCCCGTTACACTAAAGTTTAGAGGTGATTTGAATTCCATTTTGTGTATTCTGTAGGTACAAAGAGCCTGCTGCTTTGCTTGTGAATTAACCTCCAGAAATGCTGTGAAATACAAGAGATTTGACTGAGGAAGAAGAGGGGTCCTGATTTAGGGAAACTGCCGCGGTTCACTTGGACAGTATGGCAGATGCTGTGAAAGGAGAAGGAAGCCTAAGAGGAAGCAAAGCTAGTAATCAATTCAGAAGTATTAGCAAGGCTGCAGTAACTGCTATCGTTACTTGAAATGTTAATGTTAATAGCAGAGTCTAGAAAAAGAAGCCAGAACTATTGGTTATTATGGTGTTACGGGTGAAAGAGGTGCAACATTTCACAGTGGTGTGTGATAATGGTGCAACTGGACAGTCTTCACAACTCAGTTTTAAGCAGAATGATGGAGAATTAGATGAGAAGTTCTGGAGTATATATATCTACACATTTTAAAAAGGAAAACCTAAAATTCCACCATGATTTCTTCTGGTTGTTACACGAGTCATTTTCTTTGAGTCAAGAAGATACATCAGGAGTTCCTTTCGTTCCATTGTAGCAAGATTGATTTGTTCAAAGACATTGAATTGCATACAGAGTTTTTACCATGTTATGTTTGCAAATAACTGAATGGCACCTGCAGTCTATATGTAGCCCTATTTCAAAAGCATCTCCTGAATCTCAGAAGGTTTGCCACTCCAACGGTATTTGGACCTATGTAGTTCCAGGTGACTGCAATCCTATCTGTTCAATAGAGAGGCACCTAAAATATGACTTAGGAAAGAATCTGGTTTTCAGATCATCTTGATCAGCAGGAGAAGACTTAGAAGAGAACTGGGGAGTTGAAGGGAAAGTTGATAATGTGGCTAGGTAAGGAAATAACGGCTCTTGTTAGCAGAGTATACAAAGAAACTTCTCTAGAATGGGAAGCAATGGAAAGTGGGTAGAGGGAAAACAAAATTAGCTTGAAGGAAAGAGGAGAAAGAATAAGAGGAGATAGCTGTAAGAATTTTCAAAAAATCTGGGTAAGAATACATTCTTCACAGTGCTAATAAGGAAGGGATGAAGTAACATAAACTATTACTTTATACCTGGCCAACATCTTCATGTGAAAGGCTCATTTTGGTTTATGGCAAAGTGAGGATAAACGCGGAGAATTTCTGTGGCTTTTAACATGAAGTATCTATAAGGGGGTTTCTAGATGCTTTGCAGGTGAGTTGAGAAAGTGCTACTGCCTCATATCAGAGTCCAGATCTGCCAAGAAATACTGAGAACCTACAACTTGCAGGAAATTGTATTTAGATTTTATGCGGGAGCTGACATCACTGATAGCTTGCAGTAAAGTGCTCCTGTAATGGGTCTAAAGCTAGCACAACTGATTAATAAAACTTACCTCTTCTTGGTCATTTTTTACAGGAAAGCTTGTGGGAGGTTGTTCTGCTCTAATAGTCCTGTGCTTGATTATTCACTCCATTACAAGATAACACAGAGATAAGGAGGACTTGTACACTGACTTCTATTGGTTTCAGTCCTATAGTGACATAACATTTATCTTCCACATAACCTGGGCCATAAATCCTCATAAAGACTATTAGCATCACTTAATGATGATTTGAACACAATAAATGTCTTGTTACCCACTCCTGTCTGCCTAATGAACCAAATAAAATATGTTGGTGAACACATGAGCTACAGATACAGTGAGACCTGCTTTCCTACAGCTTTGTGCCTTAACCACAGGCACAAATGAGACTTCCTCACTTACCTTGGAAGTCTCCTGTGTGACAGCGATGCAACACCCTTATTTTATGGCCTGTATCCTATATGCTTCTTTATCAACTCTTGAGTTCGCAGTTGCTTGCAAGGTAATACGCTGCTCTTCTTCCCACATTCCCTGTCCCAGTACAGACGTGTCAGCTACCTGGCTCCTCTGCTCCACCTGCTACAAGACTTTTAGCCGAGACTCCACATATGCCTGTTACACAAGAGACGGAGTACCTGAGTGCCAGCAGTACACGTGACTCTTACCTCTTGGCTGCCGGTCTCAAGAGTTGCCTGTAACCCTCAGGCTGCGCTTTGTGCAAGCCTCCCATAGGCAATGAGCATCTGTCAGCTCTGTAGGCCTCTCCAGATTTGTAGAAATTGGCTAATGGATGCAAGAATTGCTGAAACTGTACAGATGGACAACGTGAATGTCCAAGCACTGTTTCACAGAATCACAGAATCATCTAGGTTGGAAAGGACCTTGAAGATCATCTAGTCCAACCATTATCCTAGCACTGATAGTTCCCAACTACACCATGTCCTTAAGCGCTGTTGACCCGACTCTTCAACCCCTCCAGGGATGGGGACTCTCCCCCTGCCCTGGGCAGCCCATTCCAACACCCAACAACCCCTTCTGCAAAGAAATGCTTCCTAACATCTAGTCTAAACTTTCCCTGGTGCAACTTGGAGCCATTCCCTCTTGTCCTGTCACTTGTTCCTTGGTTCAAGAGACTGACCCCCAGCTCTCTTCACCCTCCTTTCAGGTAGCTGTAGAGGGCGATGAGGTCTCCCCTCAGCCTTCTCTTCTCCAGACTAAACCCCCCAGTTCCCTCAGCCGCTCCCCATCAGACCTGTGCTCCAGACCCTGCACCAGCTCCGTTGCCCTTCTCTGGACACGCTCGAGTCATTCAATGGCCTTTTTGTAGTGAGGGGCCCAAAACAGAGCACAGTCATCGAGGTGCGGCCTCACCAGTGCTGAGTACAGGGGTCAGATCCCTTCCCTGTCCCTGCTGGCCACGCTATTGCTGACACAAGCCAGGATGCCATTGGCCTTCTTGGCCACCTGAGCACACTGCTGGCTCCTGTTCAGCTGGCTGTCAATCAACCCCCCCAAGTCCCTCTCTGACTGGCAGCTCTCCAGCCACTCCTCCCCAAGCCTGTAGCGCTGCTGGGGGTTGTTGTGGCCCAAGTGCAGCCCCCCAGCATTTGGCCTTATTGAAACTCATGCAGTTGGCCTCAGCCCATCGCTCCAGCCTGTCCAGGTCTTTCCTTAGGGTCCAGGCTACAAGGGTTTGAAGCAGCAGCTTTTCCTTGTTTCTTAAACAGCATCTGAGAAACAGTGAGGTATGTTCACCAGTTGCTCCAGGGTGATGACAGGGTGTAAATGTGGCAAAGCCTGCAGGTTGCAACCTGCTCATAGTGTAATCATCCTGGGGAAAAAGGACCTGTGAAGTTACAGTGTCAGCACTCATCCTGGAGTTTGTACAAGCCTGCTAAGGACTGCAGGTGTCACGTCCTCAGAGGGTTAGCCCCCACTAGACTCTGTGCACCTTCAGGCACACAAGGCTGTTCCTATGAGCGGTGTGCAGGTGTATGTTGGTCAGACATCCAGGTGGACTCACAGAGGAGGAGCCCCCATAGCTTATGTCATAATTCCTCTTGGAGCTGATCAGCTACAATATATCATAATAGATATTTAGGCTGGAGTCACCCAATCTTCGAAGAGGAAGCTGAAGGGATACCTCATCGCCCTCTACAACGCCCTGAAAAGAGGTTGCAGAGAGCTGGTGGTGAGTCTACTGAATCCAGTAACAAGTGATAGGACAAGAGTGAATGGCCTCATGTTACACCAGGAAAGGTTCAGACTAGATGTTAGGAAGCATTTCTTCCCAGAAGGGGTTGTTGGGTGTTGGAATGGGCTGCCCAGGGCAGTGGTGGAGTCCCTATCCCTGGAGGGGTTGAAGAGTTGGGTTGACCCAGCACTGAGGGATCTGGTGCAGTTGGGAACTGTCCATGTTGGGTTGATGGTTGGGCTGGATGATCTTCATGGTCTTTTCCAACCTAGACAATTCTGCGATTGTGTGATTCTGTGTAATTTATTATACTCAGTTCTATTGCTGTAAATACCCACATAGACGTACAGAAAAAGACCAACTAAACTCATATTCCTAAACCAAAAAGCCTTTTAAAGCTGTTAAAATGCTGTTTTCAGAAAGCACTGTGTGAAGGCATGTGTTTGAGGTGAGATCCTGTCCCCAGCGAGGTCACTTGGAGCTCAGCTGTCAGCTTTGGCAGAGGCATGATGTCA